ATCAGTGGTTTGTACTTTGAGCACACAGTTCTTTACAGTGTTTGCTGAATCTTGCTTTCCCCATGCTGCTCAGTGCCATTCCCAGTTAGGAAAGTTGGCAAGGTTGAGTGATCACCTAGAATAAAGTCCCAGGGCCCCTGGTCGTAGCTGAGTTCCAAAACAGGTCTGCTCTACTTTCTCTTAAGATTCTTGCTGGCAAAAATACTTCTAGTACTCCTTTGGGGCCCTCGAGCTCCTCTGCCAGTTTTCGAGTTGAGGGAGGTGCCCTCTGTTTCCCCCTACATCGCAGACTCATGCAGCAAGACAGGAGGCTTTGTGCATGCAAGTTGAATTCTGCAGACTTTGCAGGTAGTTGCCAGATTCCATGTTTTTGTTCTGAGGAACAGACAGAAACTTGAGTTGAAGATAGTGTGGTGCCAGCAAGGACCCTGCAGAACTCTAAGCTCTGGCAAGGGTTGATTAGAAAGTTAGAAAAACTTGCTGGCCTGGACGAAGGGTTGTCTCTCTGCAGTCCTTCAACTTTCTTTACCAGGCAATCAGTATCCACAGCTCCAAGTCAATATTCATAGACTCCCTCTCTCCAAGAGAATGGGCACAATTGCTGTAGACAAGGCTACAAAGCATGTCCCACTCCTCAGAAACCCCCAGATGCCACCCTCTAGTCAGTCTTCTCTCCACCATTTATTCTGATTCCAGACACTGGCATCACCAGTTGCTAGACTGCTATTTGGAGTCACTAGTACGTTATGCTTGAGATAATTCCAGACTGTTTCTGGAAGTCATATTCACCACCATCTGCCTGCTTTCTCAATGTTGGAGAGCTGTATGGAGGAGTCATCCGTTCAGAAAGCCTTCGCTCCTTTGAAAATGCAACAAAACCTCAACTTTCCCAGCTCCATTAATACTCAGACAAGAGATTTTCTAGAGATCTGAGAGCCTCATAAACCTAAGATGTTGGAATGCAGCAACACACCTTGAGATAAGTAAAAGTCTCTGTCTCTGACTCTCTCTCTCTCTCTCTCTTTCTCTCTCTCTCTCTCTCTCTCTCTCACACACACACACACACACACAAAGAGAGAGAGAGGGAGAGAATATTATATTATTATATTGTTGGCCAGATTGATTCCAGTACAGGTTTTCACATTCCAAACCTATTTCTAATCTTGTTTCTTTCTCTTTGGTTTAATCATCTGTGTGTGTGTGGGGGGGGGGGTCAGAATCCAAGCACAGCTTTATGTTAACTAAGGGCCCGAAGTACCAAACGGTGAAGTGAGAAAGGACTCTGGACCAATGCTGCATTTGTGACTAGGAGAGGGGGCCCAGGCAGCAAAGTCAATGGGAAGTATATAACCCAAGATTCCTTTGATCGGGGATCAAGGTGTGTGTGTGTGTGTGTGTGTGTGTGTGTGTGTGTGTGTGTGTGTG